GAAATAATCGATGAGAGTGCGTTCATACTTATTCATATCGCTAGGTTTTACATCAGTGCCAATTTCTACCTCGGCACGGAATTGGAGCACGATTAAAGCTATTTCACGGATATTGTGGGGTAGCTGGTTCTGAAAGAGAAGTCAATATTTTCTTGATAAGAAGTTTTCCGACATCCCTTCATCTGTTTCTCCCTAACTATAAAAGGGAAATAAATGGATGTTTTCGGTAAAAAAAGAAGTCCGGTTAGATAAGCAAGCTGTAAATTCACCTATGGGTGCTACTGGACAGCTCTGGATTTGAAATGTATCTCTACGAGCACCTCAGAAATACAAATGCAAAAAAATACAACGAGCCGTGGGTTGGTGCCTATGAGTCGTGACGCATGAGGAAATAATGCCTGCGAGTCGTGACTCATAGACAATCAGCAAACATCGATTTCATGGTTTTCAACGAAAACGATGGGGTTCATCTCGGAAAATCTTGAAGGAAAAAGTGCAGAAATGTCACAAGATCGCTTTTTTTCTTGGACATATTCTGCACAATATGAGCCCTTGAATTACTTACCAAAAGGTAATCCTTGTGCTCTGCATCAGCAGTAGAGACAACGATTTCGTGTCCTTCGCTGTCCCTGACTGCGACCTTTACACCAAACAAATTCGGATCCATGTACAGTTTAGTGCCAAGCACGGTAGTAATTGGATAGCCCAGATCCAAATGTTTACTTCTGTTTGCAGAAGTGGCATACTTATCTGAGATCAACATTCCACTCTGAAAAATGTAATTTTCACCAGGAAATAAGCAGGAATTTCGAAAATTGCCCTTTCGAGTGGACGGGTTGGAAAGTGGATGTTTAATGAGACATAGAGGAGCCACTTACATAAAAGTGTCGTATCGGTTCGTTTAAAGTGCAAAATCCTTGACAAAATTCTTCGAAATTTTTCTCGCCATGTGAGGTCCGTAAATAGAAATCGCGAGAGATCTTGTCCAAAACCTGAACTGGCGAGATAAAAAAA